GCATGGTGCACCGACGTAGTACTCACTCGTCTGCGTAACCCTTGGCTCATGTTTGTGCCTTAGCAAAGTTGGCTGCCTGACTGGATTCCCCTGGGATTCCCTCCAAAATATTGAAACTTTGAATATTGCATGAAGAGATCCTAGGTCATCTTTGCCTGGAGTGGGTCATTTCCAACTACAGGGTGGCTCCTGAGGGTCCTCTGAATAACACAGGGCACTAGGAGGGTTCATAGAAGATGAGAAACAGGTGTCATATTAAGTTGAAATTGCCAGTATTTAACCACTGTTGCCTTTTTAAAAAAAACCATGATTTTATGTTTCAGCCTGTTCTTTTTAGGTGTTGCAGTGAGCTGCATCACTGGAGTGTAGGATGGCTATGATTGGAAATTTGATGGGGAATTAAATTGGAGAGAGTGGAGCTGCACTGTAAGGGCCTGAGGGTATCAAGGTGCTACTGCAACACTTTAAGGAAGAGAACTTTGTGGCCAACCTTGCTTGCCCTTGAGCACCATCACTCAGGTGGTGGTGTAGAATATATTCGAGGGTGGGGGCGTCATCATGACTGACTTTAGATGTGGTTAAAGTTAATTCAAGAGAGAAAAATTGGTATTTGTGAGTGGAGAGGAGTAGATGGATTCAAGCATGCTAAGGAGGTAGACTCAGAAGAGGGTGCTGACTGGATGTAGGGAGAGAAGACGGAGCTTCTGTCACAGGATGTATAGTAGTGACAGTCTCTGAGGTAGGAATAATGCAAAGGGAAACAAGAGTGAGGAGCTTCTGCTTTGGATTTGAATAGATTCAGGCTGATTTATCTGTGGCATACCCAGGGAGAGCAGCTAGAGCATGCGAGGTATGTTATTGGACAAGTAGGAATTGGAGCTCTGTCCAATGCTAGACACTGTTGTAGGTGCTCTTTGCTCTGATGGGGGTTGCTAGGCCCACTCCAGTTAGTTCCTCTGGTGGGGGAACTAAGAAGGAGTAGGATAGAGTGTTGTGGCCCTTTCATAGGTGACCAGAGGGCAACTGAGGAGAGGAGGGACCTGATTATGAAATGTCCTTCCCCTGGGGAGATCGAAGAAGAGTATTCTGGGCAGAGAGAAGGACAAGTCCCCACAACTGTTAGTGGGCAACCATACTTGAGGAACTGCAAGAGAGCTGGTATAACTTAGGCCTGGTGTATAAAAGGGAGGAGCCATCAAAGTCTGGCCATGCTGAGAGCTGATAGAGAAGCACCTGGTCCTGAGCAAGAGGGTTTCTTCTGAGTGTGAGGTTAAGTTGTAGGAATTTGAAGGCATGGGAGCAGATGAGATCTCTCCTGCATAGAGTGAAAAGAGGTGAGGATTCTGATATTTAGGTGAAGGGGAGACCATCTTCCAAGGAGGCTGACAAGAAACAACCAGAGAACTAGAAGAGAGGCAAGAAAATGCGGTAAAGAAATATGAAGAGAACTTTAAAGAGGAAGGAATGTTTACATGGCAGCTGATAAAAGAAGGAGAGGGAAAGACTGAAAATGCGGACTGTATTCAATAGCATGAAGATCACTGCAGTCCTCTTGAGACCTCCCTTTCTTTCAGCTCCCATATCCGCATCCACCGAGTCCCCAGAAGGATGGAGCCCAAACTGCAGTAACCCAGATGCTGGGCTGGTGGGGAACAGGGATACTTAGCTGATGGAGGATTGCAGAAAATGGGGCCAAGAGTAAAAGTGACTACTCAGTGAGGGGCACGAAGCACGGTGGCTGCCCCCGGTGGCTGCCAGCAAATAAGGAGCACTGACGAGAGAGCCACCCTGTCTTAGAGTCACGTCTGTTAATCACAGTGGAAGAGGATGAGTGTTATCATTCTGGGAGTTTGATCACCAAACACACTGGAATTTCAGAGATGGGTGGTTGAGGTGGGGTGAAGGGAGACCGAGCAAAGGAATATCCTGTAGGGTGAGCACAGCAAGCAGAGGAACACAAGCGGTGGCACCTCCAGCATTGATATCCTTAGACCCCTCTCTGAGTTCAAGAGCAGGAAATGGTGGGTGCCAGACTACAGGGTGTGTTGGTGAAAGACTGACTAGAGGGCCTCCCATCAGGCGTGTGGTTTTCTTCAGCAAACACCCCCTAGTAACCTCTTGCAAAAGAAATGAGCATTAGATTCATTTATCTCCAACTGGATCCTTCTGGAACTCTGCCCCATGAGACCATTGGATAGTGAGAAAGGGAGCCTCCAACCTGAGCATCCAGAGGTACTAGATGGTGCTGAAAGCGTAGTGCCCAGACCTGTCTGCTTTTATGGCTTATGCTGTGTATGTTTGTATATAATTTGTAATCTGTTCAGACTTTCCCCCCATCTCTCTTATAAATGCCTATAGATTAGTTAGGGACCACCATTTTCTCATCTTTGCTTTTCTCTGCAGTGCCCTGCATGTGTCAGACACTCCTGCAGATGGTCAAGGCTTAACCATCTGTCAAGACTACCACATTCCACACTCCCCACTCCAGCCTGTCTCATTCTAGTTAAATTTGTGAGCAGTTGAGAAAATGGTCCAGTGTTTCTTTGGGAAAAGCAATTGGTATTGCAAAATTGTTACTTTGGAACTTGTCTGCAGCTGTTTGCATGTGGACATTGAAAGAGGGAGTGGTAGCTTTGTGATTGTTAGCGCTAGGAAGGATTTTGTTTCTAATCTGGGACAGCCAGCTGACTCATCAAGTGCCTTGACCTCTTAGGTTGCCATCTTCCCCTTTGCAGAATGGAAAATTGAGCTCCCAGGCAACCATGAAACAAATGGTTTTCCACAAAGAATAGAAATGATAAAAATCAGCAACTCAGTTTATATCTCTCTGAAATGAATTTACCTTCCCCAGGAAAACTTTTCAACACTGCATCTTCCAAAGGCTCCAGTTTAGGACCCTGGTTCCTTTCACCTCTAGGTGGCAGTAGGAAGCAGAAGAACTGTGAAAATACAGCAGCTGTCTTTCAGTTGGAGGGAGTGTCCCAGGTCTTCACCCTGGTGACCCTGGGCTACAGTTCAACTCTGCCCTACAGTTCCATTCGTCAGACTTCCCTGTTTTTCTGAGCTAACTTAGTTAATTACCTTGATGTGGATTTAAAGAAATGCTGACTCAGCTGAGATCTATAAAGTACCATGAAGTGGTGTTTGCCAGTTAAAAATTAAGAATATGGTGGCCTTCCCTGGGGTTGCCGTGAGTTAAAGTGCAGCACTGCACTGCAAGCTGGCCACAGCAGCTTCCGTGTGAGTTCAATCCTGGGCCCCGGAGGCAATCCACATGGCGCGGCAGACCTCTCCTGACCCGCCTGCTGCTCCCCTCAGCAGTGTTCTTTGTTGATCTGCCTGTTCTGCATCCCACTCTGTTTCTGGTGAAGCCTCTCACTGCCCGCGCACCTCTGGCCTGTACCCCAGTTCTGTATGCATAAATAAATAAATCTTTAAAAAAAAGAAGAAGAAGAAGAAGATCGTGAAGAGGAATAAAAAGAGTGGGAGCATTGGAATTGGGACTCAGAGGTTCAGAAAATTGCCCTTTTATTTTCTTGCTTATTATGCATGTGTCTAGTGGGTGTCTAGCCGGTGTCCTCGGACTTGCCTTGGGCAGAACCCCTGTGTCAGTCTCTGGGGTCCTGGGGTAGGTGTGGTGCATCAGTGTGGCCCTTCCCTGCAGCAGGAATGACACAGAGTCACCATACTAGTCACTGACGTCTCTGAAATCTGTTAGTGATAGTGAAAGCCTTCATTTGGAAATTTGTGACATATTCCTAAATAGATGCTTTGGGGCAGTAGGAGGGAGGGGCAGAATTGGGGATGAGATGAGGACAAAAATGTGATAAAGTAAACATAGGAAAGGAGCAGCATGTGCTTAGAGGCGGAGTGTGGGCTCCTGTAACAGTGGAGGAATTGTGTCCTGACAGCTGAAATCAGGCTAGGGAAGAGAGGAAGGAACAGAAACCCCTCCCCATGCCACTGCCATGTTCTTTGTGTAACTCGCTCCCACCCCTAATCTTTGAGGGTGCTTATTGCTCAGTTACACACAAGGGACCTGGGTCTTATTCAGTAGCCATGTCCATGTATTTGCCTTGTGTCCTAGAAAACTGGCAGCCTATGAAGACCAGGGCTCATGTGTCTTATCCCCACAGTGCTTGTCTGTGGCACGGAACAGGCTCTTAATAAGGCTAATTTAACAAATGTCGATCAGGAAGATGTGGGGGAAGTAAGAATAACAGTGCCAAAAGACTCGATTCTGCCAAAATGAGTGATCCTGATAAGAAATGATGGATTTTGCTAGGGCTGGTGACTGGACATGGGGAATGGAAGATGCTGGGGTTTGGGAAGAATGATGGCGAGGGAGAGAGGCCAAAACTGAAAGACAGAGCCCATTTGATGGGGTAGAACTGGGCAGGGCTGCCTTGAAAGCCTTGGGAGGCCTAGGAAGCTCATGGGAATTGGGCTGGGTGACAAGATGGAGGTCTGGGCCTGTGATCAGCTTCCAGCAAGACCTGTGAAAGAGCCTGGCTGGACTCGTTTGCTGACAGCAACAGAAATCCAAGTTAAACTTCCTTAAACACAAGAAAGAATTTACTGGGTTTTTGTAAGTGTAAAATCTTTGGGATTGCTGGTCCGAAGAATATCCAGGTCCAAGACTCAGATGATGTCCTCAAGAATGGCTGTGTCCTCTGCCTCTTTCTCAGGCTCCATTCTTAGGCACATCCCCAGGCTACATGACCAGGGGCAGCATTAGGCTTGTGTCCTGCAAAAAGAGAGGTCAGCAGAAGTCTAAAGACTGATACATTGACTGCAGGTAGGCTGCTTTGCTACTGCTGATCTAGTTCACAAACTCAGGCAAGGCCAGAGGGCATGAGGGAGGGCATAGGGATAAAGATGAGTTCCCAGAGAAGGGAGTGTAAACCAGGCAAATAAAATTGGCAGGAGAGCGATGCCTCCCTTGGAAGCAAAGTTACTGTACATAGGTTTTGTAAGTCACTCATTTCCCTGTTTTTCAGCATCTTCATGACACAGTGAAGAGGAATCTGGATAGTGCCACCTCCCCTCAGAATGGTGATCAACAGAATGGCTATGGGGACCTCTTTGGTGGACACAAGAAGACACGCCGGGAAGCCCCTCTGGGAGTTGCTGTCTCTTCCAATGGCCTGCCTCCAGCATCCCCCCTTGGACAGCCAGACAAGCCTGGTACTGAGGCCATGCAAGCCAGTGGGAAGCACCTGCTGGGACTGGACCCCATCAACAAGAAATGTCTGCCAGACTCAAGCCTTCACCTGAATGGAGGCAGCAACCCTAGTGAGTCATTTTCTCTAAGCCTGAATAAAGAACTGAAGCAGGAGCCTGTCGACGACCTGCCTTGCATGATTGCAGGGGCTGGAGGCTCCATATCTCAAAGCAACCTCATGCCTGACCTCAACCTTAATGAGCAGGAGTGGAAAGAGCTCATTGAGGAGTTAAACAGGTCAGTGCCTGATGAAGACATGAAGGATCTGTTCAATGAGGACTTTGAAGAGAAGAAAGACCCAGAGTCTTCTGGTTCTGCCACACAGACACCTTTGACACAGGACATTAATATTAAGACGGAATTCTCTCCAGCAGCCTTTGAACAAGAACAGTTAGGCTCCCCACAGGTGAGAGCTGGGTCTGGAGGACAGACCTTTATGGCACCTTCATCTGGCCCTACAAGCACAGATTCAGCTAGCCTAGGGGGCGCTCAGCCTCTGTTCCACACCTCTGGTCAACCTGGGGCAGACAATCCCAGTCCCAGCCTGATGTCTGCATCAGCCCAGGTCCAGAATGCACAAAGAGCCCTCTCCGGTGTGGTATTGCCTAGCCAGGGCCCAGGAGGGGCCTCAGAGCTCTCTTCTGCCCACCAGCTCCAGCAGATTGCAGCCAAGCAGAAGCGGGAACAGATGCTCCAAAACTCACAGCAGGCCACCTCAGCGCCAGCCCCAGGCCAGATGTCCACGTGGCAACAGACTGGCCCCTCTCACAGTCCCTTAAGTGTCCCTTATCCCATGGAGAAACCTGCTAGCCCTCCCAGCTACAAACAAGACTTCACCAACTCCAAACTACTTATGATGCCCAGTATAAATAAGAGCTCCCCTCGGCCGGGAGGCCCCTACCTTCAGCCCAGCCATGTGAATCTGCTGACACACCAGCCGCCAAGTAACTTGAATCAGAGTTCTGTGCCTAACCAAGGGTCAGTGCTGGACTACGGCAATACCAAGCCCCTTTCTCATTTCAAAGCGGACTGTGGGCAAGGTGGCCCTGGGGTTAGCCAGAGCAAGACGACTCTCATGGCTTATCTTCCCCAGCAGCTGCCTCATCTGAGCAACGAGCAGAACTCCTTGTTTCTGATGAAATCAAAGCCAGGAAGTATGCCCTTCAGATCACTGGTTCCACCTAGCCAGGTGAGCAAGTGGCTTTGCTCTTTCTTCTCAGCAGATGCTTAGGGTGGCACTACAGGACTCCAGGAGTTTGGGAACAGAGGCACAAAGGAAGGAAGGAAAGAGAACAGCTGCTGTCTTAGACTTCCGTGCAAGTGAAAATTGATCAAGCAAATTTGGGTTGATTATTCAGAAACAAAAATAGGATAAAACTCTACAGCATAAGTTGGTTTGAGCTGTGCAAACATTTGGCCAATCACCTGTATTTAATAGTGTCTCTTTCATTCCATATGGCTGCTTTGCAAGGAAAGATCACATTTAGTGTGTTTTCTTAGTTTTTCTTTTTTGTCACCTTTCAGGCCTCTGTATTCAGTATACCTTAAGTTGATAAGCTTTAGAGCATTCTAGGTATGTGCCACTTCTGAACACATCTAAACTCCATGATTACATAGTTGTCAGACTCCAGTCCAGCGGTGTGGCGCTATTGGGGTGAACTACGGTCAAATACCAGTTTTATCATGATCATGATTTGAATTTCTACACATGTTCAAATATGCTCTGAAATGTTTTCTCCCTGGAGGCCTTCAGGGTATGCTGGGCTGGTATGAACAAACAGCAAGTTTTCCCCTGCTTCTTCAAAGAAAGACTAGAGCACATTTGCTCTTCCTCCTCCACAGGCGCTGCGCCTGTGGGTGCCTGCATCTGTCCCTTCAGACTTGTAACAGTTGTGCAGCAAGAGTTGTGTAATGTGCAACACCCTCATTGTTTTCTGTTTTTCACTACTCTAAGTAAGCCTGCAATCAGAATCTGATGTGTGTTTATTTGTGACACACTGTAGAATTCTAAAAATTAAAATCCAATGCTGGTGACATTGTTAGAAAATTGACACCCTCATTTACTGCTAAGACTATGTAAATGGGCACCATGCTTTTGGAAGGTAATTGGACAATACATTTTTCATAAGCCAGAAAAATGTTTATGAGCCTTGAGAAGTAATTCCCCACCCCTAAAAGTTACATACCTGTTATTGCATGACTATTTCTAATAGCCAAAAACTAGAATCGGTTTAAACATCTCCCCACAGGACAATGTGTCAGTGACACTTTGGCTTATTTCAGCTGTTACGTTTCTGCACAGCCATTAAAAAGAACCTTATGAAAGAAGCCACATTGTGACTCAGCTCCTGCTGATTGGGGTGAGGAAATGACACCAGACTCTTTCTGCAATAGATTGGAATCTTACAAAGATTAGACAAATGCATAACTGCTGGCAAGGAGCTGAGAGAGTTGAGCTTAACTGATAATTGCTTTTTGCCTTTCTCCTGTTTTGGTTTAAATTTTCCCTTTAAAATTTTTTTTTAATTTATTTATGCATAGAAGAGCTGGGGTATAGGCCAGAGGTGGGGGGTTGGGGGTGGCAAGAAGATTCACCAGAGACAGAGTGGGGAACAGGTGTATCTGCTGAAATACACTGCTGAGGGGAGCGGCAGGCGAGACAGGAGAGGTCTGCTGTACCTGTGGGTCAGCTCCCTGGCTAGGAATCAAACTCATGCTACATTCGCTGCCCATACCTTCCCGAGTGCTGAGATTTAACCCTTGCATCACCAGGGAGGCCCCCTTTTAAATGTTACTGATGATGGTAGAATATTGTGGTAACCCTGAAAAGACTTATTTTAGGTCCATGTATTAATAGAGTATGTTAAAGTTCTAGCTGCTACTCAGCTTGAATATCCAACAAAAACTAAGCAATATCCCAGAAAAATTCTGTACACAATGGACTAATGATACAGCTCCCCACACTTCGGGCACAACCCCACAGCCAGGAGCCTAAGGTTTACACACGCGAAATGGAACATCTCCCTCAGCCACAGCTCATAGGGGCCTTCTTCCCCTCAGCTCATCCGCACTTGCGTGTTCCAGCAGTGCTGATAAGCTGTAGCTACTTACCAGAACAGTCATACCCAAGTACACAAGCTTAGATATGCCTCTAGTGAGTCATAGGATGCATCTCTAATGCGTGGCTAGTGAGGGTTTGTTGTGCCTGGACCTGCAGGTGGTAGTACTTTGGTTTTTGCCCAGCCCTGGAGGTTGGTTGTATGGGGAACCATCTGCCATGAGACAAAAGGCTTTAAGAACCAGAAGCTCACAACACATCTGCTCTGACCGGGATTTATAAACTTCCCTGTGCTTGACTTGAGACCCCCTTGTCTCTGTTGACAGGAGCAGAGCCCTCCCAATGTCCCTGTGCCAGCCCAGGCTGCCAGTGTGGGGACCCAGCCACCCACTGCATCTGTGACCAGCACTCACAGCAACACCCCCTATCTCAGCAGCCAGCAGCAGGCAGCTGTAATGAAGCAGCACCAGCTGCTTTTGGACCAACAGAAACAGAGGGAGCAGCAGCAAAAGCATTTGCAGCAACAGCAATTCTTGCAAAGGCAGCAACACCTCCTGGCTGAGCAGGTAAGGAGGGAGATGGAAGACCAAGCCTACCACCCGCCTTTGCTTGCCTCCGTAGTCACGATCATGTGAGCTGCAGATTCTGCCCACGAACTGTGTGGATGTGTACTCATTTGCATGTTGGTGTTAGATGGACTGTACCCTTTAAAAGCCCTTCTCTGGGGGAGTGGCATTTCCCAGACTGGGGTGGCCCTGTGTCAGAGGCAGCTTTATGTCACTTAGTGGGGATTAATGAAAGCAGAGTCTGTGGTTAAACTGCATGTGTTAGGGCCTTTTTTTGTCATGTTTTTGACAAAAATACCAAAGCACTGAGCTCGCTGGCCTGCCAGTTCACCGAGGTTTCCAGCTTTGTCATAAATGTAGTTTGTTAAGTGAGAAAACTAAGATGTTTCTGGGATCCTGGGCTTCTAGAATTAGGTGGACAACTCCCCCCTTATCCCTGCGGCTCACCTGCCTCACCAGCTGCAGATACTAAGGTTACGAGAATTCTGAGGATTTTATATCTTAAAGATACAAGGAGAACTAGCTAGCCACAGGGTAGAATTGACTGAGGATGACTGTAAAACTCACACAGTTCCCTCAGTTCTGCCATTTAAAAAAAAAAAACAAACAGCTTTATTGGGATATAATTCACCCAGCATAAAGTTCACCCAGTTAAAATGTCCAAGTCGTTGGTTTTAATATATTCTCAAAGCTATACAACCATCACCATAGTTAATTTTAGAATATTTTCATCACCTAAAAAAGCACCGCAGGCCCACAAAACCATTTAGAGTTACTCCCCTGTACGTGCAGGCCCAGGAAGCCAATAGGCAGCTTTCTGTTTCTGTAGACTTGCCTGTATGGCCATTTCATGCACACATGCTGAGCTCCAGTCCTGTGGCATGCATAGGCTTGCCTTCTCCTCAGGCTGCGTAACCTGTCGGCACCTGCTACGTGTCATTGCACCGTTCATCCTGTTGATAGGCTTTGGGCTGTTTCCCCATTTTGCTGCCCTGTGTTTTCAGTTGTCTTGAGTCTGTACCTGAAGGTGGGAAATTACTGGGTCATATCGTAACTCTTATGTTTAACTTTTTGAGGAATTGCCAGACTCTTGTCCAAAGCAGCTGCACCATTTTACATTCCCAACCACCATGTTGCCTCTGCCTATGCTCACAGCCTCCCTGCACTTGTTACCTGTCTTTTGAGTCTAACCATCTCAGTAGGTGTGTAGTGCTGTCTCGTGGCTTTGGCTTGTGTTTCCCTCATCTACTTTCCATTTTCAGATATTTCACCCATATATTTATTTTCTTAAATCATTGCTCCTTAGCTCTGTTCAGCCTTTTTGTTTCATACTGTCCATTAAAAAAATGAAAATCCATTGAGTTCATCATAGGAGCCTATCTGTGAATAACAAATTTTGGACAGTTTACTTTAATCTAATGCTGTTTGTTTCCCTCTAATGTGGCTTTTTGTTTTATTCTCTTGTTCTTAATATTTTCTAGGAAAAGCAGCAGTTTCAGCGCCATCTGACCCGCCCACCACCCCAGTACCAAGACCCGACTCAGAGCACCTTCCCACAGCAGGTCGGACAGTTCACAGGTGAGGTGACATCAGACGGCAGTGAAGGGCAGAGTGGTGGGGCAGGTCAGGGCCGGGTGGTTTCTGCATTTGTGCACAGCCCCTGCTCTCTGCCCAGCTTTACACTAGGAGCTCACAGAAGCATTAGTCTGTTGAAGAACCTACTTTCATTTGTAATTGGGAGACAGCTTATCAACAGGAAAAAGCTTCTGTAAGTCTTGCAGATGCCATGATGTCTCTCTTCAAACAGGGATCCTCTCCTGTTTTCCAGATACGGAGGCAAATCATGGGCTTGCAGGGTTTTTTGCTTATTTTCTTCTTTCTATCAGCTCGCTTTGCGACCACAAATGGCAGCATCAGCAGTGGACAGAAAAAAGGAGGATGCATTCAGTGGTGTCAGCTGTCCCACCCAGATTTGCAGGAGGCCTTTGCTCAGGCATCTCTCCAGAAATGTGGAGATTTCACTTGACAGATGCAGTAAAATCTGGTCTGCATCTTTCCTACCTAGGTCTTCAAAAGGACATCTCAGAGACCCGACCTTTCCTTGGTTGGTGACTCACTGCAAGGGTCCCAGAGAAATAGCACAGCTGTTCTGCAGGAGACCACGTGGAGTTTGGGGGAAACATGGAGTTGAAGTCAGTGGGCATCTTAGAACCTTTCTCCCTACATCCCGTCTAACACAGTTATTCAATAGAGGTGAAATGAGCTATTTCAGCTCTTCTTTTTCTCCAGCCTGTTTTTTGTAGGTGCTACTGGCGAGAGGGAGAGACAAAACAAACTTCTCGGTTGTCCCAAACCTGAGCGATTTCTCTCCTACCCACAAAAGCCTTCTCAGTTAGTGTTACCACAGTGTGTCCACTGCTTAAGGCAGAGCCCCACAGAGGGCCTCGCTGTCCCCTCAGTACAGTCTGGTTTCCCAGCGAAGTACCTGCCAGAGCCAGTGCTTGGTAAATATCTGCTGATTTGAGCTCAGACTCCGCCCTCACTCTGTCCACCATCTTGTCATTCTGCAAATAATGAGCAGGCTCTCGGGGTCTCCCACTTTCACTTCTGCAGGACCATCTTGTTCACCCCTCACCTGAGTGAGTCTAATACCCCTGCCTAGCAGGACTAAGCCACGCCACAGTCTAGTCATCCTTTGACTTTGTAGCCCTGCTCTTCACGTGGCTCTTCTGAATGCGCCCAGGAGTGTCTCTTCTGAGCAGCTGAATGCTCTTCCCGCACCCCCACCATGAGTTCCTCTGTCGACTGCAAAACTGCACCTGTAGCACATACTCAGCTCTCTCCCTAGAATACTGTTTCCTCAAGCTATTAAATGGCTAGACCTGTTGCTTTTACAACTCATAATGTCTCTGGAGCTTCCCCTAAATTCTCTGAGAGTCCCGTGTGCTTCCACTGCCTGCGGCCCAGCCTTTGTACTGCCCTCTTATACCATATGGATCTTTGCCCTCCAGAGGCAGACCCTGGAGTCCCTAGGGCGCAGCACAGGGCCTTCCACAGAGCAGAGATGGGTAGGCTTTTGCAGGTGGAAGGAGATGGCACACTGGCTCCCTGCCCTTGGAGCCCCCTTCCCCTGGGCCTGTCTTCGCCGCCTCATTGTTCCAGGGTGGCCTCCATTCCACCCCATGGGAATCTACTGTCCCTCTGACCCCTGGGGCTTTCTTTGTTGAGGTTCCATTGACCACAGATGCTTGGGGTCCTGATTGTGCCTTTCATACCTATAGTATAGCAGCTTCATCTTTGGTCTTGGAGGTGGTCAGAAAGTGCCAGCTTGGTTGACACATCTTCTCTGCCTTCTAGGGACTTCTACTGCTGTGCCTGGCATGAACAACTTGGGTCCCTCTAACTCCAGCTGTCCTCGAGTGTTCTCTCAGCCTGGAAATCTGATGCCAATGGGCCCTGGACACACTTCGGTTTCCTCTCTCCCTTCAAACTCAGGCCAGCAAGACCGGGGTGTGGCTCAGTTCTCTGGCTCCCAAAGCTTGTCGCAGAGCAGTCTATACGGCATGGCCTCCGGCATAACCCAAATAGTTGCCCAGCCCCCACCACAGGCCACCAATGGACATGCCCACCTTCCACGGCAGACCAGTGTGGGACAGAAAACCTCAGTTTCAGCTGCATATGGGCAGAACTCTCTGGGGAGCTCTGGCCTCCCCCAGCAGCACAATAAGGGGACCCTGAACTCTGGTTTAACTAAACCACAGGTCTCAAGGGTGTCAGCAGCCATGGGAGGACAGAATCCTTCATGGCAACATCAGGGAATGCCAAATCTGAGTGGGCAAACCCCAGGGAACAACACTGTCAGCCCCTTCACTGCGGCATCTGGTTTCCACATGCAGCAAGCACACCTGAAAATGCCTAGCCCACAGTTCTCCCAAGGGATGCCCAGCAGGCCTTTGGCCCCCATGAGCTCAACCACTGCAGTGGGGTCCATGCTGCCCACTGTGAGTGCACAGCAGAGAACCAGTGCCCCCCCCCCAACACCTCCCCAGGGAGCCCCACAGCAGGGCTTACCAGGCCTGAGCCCAGCTGGACCTGAGCTGGGAGGCTTCAACCAGAGTCCCGCTCAACCTATAGGAGGTCGATCAGGGCTCCACTGCCCCCAGGCCTATCCTGTGCGGACCTCGGGCCAGGAGTTGCCCTTTGCCTACAGTGGGCAGGCAGGCAGCAGCGGGCTGTCCAGCATGACTGGAGACACCGACCTGATTGACTCCCTGCTGAAGAACAGGACTTCAGAAGAGTGGATGAATGATTTGGATGATCTTTTAGGGCCTCAGTAACAGGAGGATTTGTTTTCAGTATTCATACATCCTGTTTTTGTTCTCAGATTCAAGAAAGAGCAACTTCTTTGGACCAAAAACCCACAACCTGGGGAGCTGGGTGGGTAGAGCCAGAGCCCCAGGGCTGAGGCTTGGCCCTGGCCAGGTCCTCAGGGCCCACCTTGAGCCAGCAGTTGTGGTCCGTCGGGCTGGTCCCAGCCCATCTGCTGGCGTCTTTACCTGGTGCTGGAACAGCAGGACAGGCTTCTACAGGTGGTTTTCTATCCAAGTGACCAAAAACCAGCAGTGACAACAACAAAACCCTATCATGTCAGGCTTACAGAAATCTGTGTGGTCATATTGACTTAGTCCAAGATGTCTCCACTTGCCCCATGTCGGAGACAAATACATAGCAGATCTGTTTGCAGTTTGTAGCATAGAAAAAATTAAATTTTTAAAAAAGCTTTTATAACAGGTTAGGATAGGTGGTGGTTTAAATTGACTAAGTGGAATTGGAAACCTAGGGTTTCCTTCTGATTGGGAGTCTTATTCTTGCGTTGTCAGCTTTCAGGGGGAAGGGAGGGTCATTGGAAAATCATTTCCGTAAGTGCAGGCTGTGACTGCATGTGCCAAAAAGGAACAGGATGCCATGAGGTAGTTGAGCTGGTGACAGATGTGGTCTTTCCAGAAGCTCCTTTGCCCAGAGTGCTGTGCTTCCGTATTGGTGTTTACCAGCCTCTGGCCCCCAAGGACTCCTCCTCCCATGTGACAGTGGAAGGATCCCAGATAGTCCCCCAGATAATGCTAAAACTGAGTATTTGGGGTTCTTATATCTTCTTTTGTTATAACTTCTACCTTCTGCAGTTTCCCTCAAAACTTGTATTTAACCTATTGAGAAGGTGATCTTGCTGAATTGTGCACAAATGTCTCCTTTACCCTAGCATCATTTCCCATGAGTACTTTTCCGCCTCCCCTTCTGACTCCTTGCCCCCAGCTCACCCAGAAAACTTCTTTAAGGCAACTGTGTATTTGATTGGACAGAGAAGAGGCATTTAAATTCCCTAGGGAACTGAAGCCTTGTCGGGATGAGGTGTCTCCTCCCCAGAAGGCAGTGGTCTGGAGGAAGGAGAAAAACAGGTGTGCCCTGTTGGGTAGGGAAACTGCAGGCCAGGCCCAGAGGAAGGAATTCCACTTTGTTTTACTACTTCTGCCACTCCCAGGTCAGATGCCTTGCACTTTTTAGAGGATTGCTTTATAACACTAATAATGTCCTTTCTAAAGAATCAAATGGATTTCTCTTTTAAGGTCTATGAATCAGTGGACTTGACTAAGCTGAGAGTCCACAAAGCAGAGTATTAGGTGTGTACTGTTTGTGGAAGACGAAGGTGGAGAGCACTTTCGTGTAATGTGAGCAAGATGGTAAGCACGGGTGAGACCCTTCTACATAGAGCGCTGGAGAGAAAGTAAGTACACTGAGGAGAGTGGCTTGTATAGGCGGAGTGTTTTCAGGAGAAACCACAATCCCATTTCTGTTTTCCTGGACACTCAAATCATGAAAAGAATGTCACACAAAAAGACTTGAGCTATGGAGAATATTCACACAACCAGCCTGAGTAGCTTTGATGGGATGAGGGTCATACACACATGGGTAATCAATTTGCACCAGCAGTGCCTTTCATGGGGGTACTTGCACCCTCAGATCCTCTTCTCTAATAGCCATTTGCCACCACAGGTGGTATTTGGGCCATTTCCCCTTTAGATGCCCTCCCTGCCTTTCCCAGATGCCCAATTTAGTCTCAAAGAAGGGAACGAATCATAAAGGCAGTGAAGACTCTACCACTGGGCTGAGTTCCCCAATCTGAAGGGTAAGAAGGTGACTTGAGCAGGTTCTCTACCAAAAATAGGGGGTTGAAGGCTGGTGATGAGTCCTGTTCCTCTCCTGGTCGCCCTCTGGCCGCTGCTCACCTCTGTCCCTGGGCACGCCACCTACCCTCCTGGGGCGGCCCTGCCTTAGTCCTTGGCTGCCTAGATGGACCGCACGCTCCTCACCTGCTGTGGGGTCAGAGCAATAAAATGTGATGCTGGGGTCTTTCCAGGGAGCTGCCCGTGGCTTTATTTATGAACCTGTTTTGGGGGTGGTCAGGGGAGGAGCCAGCTCCCCTTCAATGTAGATCCCCATTTTTCAGGAGCCATGACTCAAAAAGGGTGCTCGGACTTTTGTTATACATATTTGCTTTGTGTAAATAAATGTTTACAATTTTATATTAAAGATGGAATAAGCGTTAGAGCTTCTGACTGTATATTTTTTACTTTTATAGATTTTAAAACTATGATCCTTTATATATGTGTTTGGGGGGAGCTATAAGTTTTATGGCAAACAGTTGGTATTGTTAACTTTTTATTGTCATCAAAATACATTAAAAATCCTATTAATTCCCTTATTCTTCTACTTCCTTTAACTCTGGTATACACCAAAAAGAAATCTTTACTTTCCTTGTTTTATCATTATGAAATAATAAAAGTATTTTGCTAGTATGGAAACTGCCCATGTATTTGCCTTCATGTGACTATGCTGGGTCAGAGAGAGGTGGTACCTGACTGATTCTTTTGTGATGTAGCCACTTTGCTATTGCACGCTGGGAAGGGGGGCTGTTATATCAGAGTAACTTCTACTGTTAGGTGAGAAGAAATTAGAACTGGCAGCTCTGGAGACATCTGAGGGGGCCAGCCATATCCTTGTGCCTAATTTGTGGGAAGTTTGATTAGATAACTTGATACTTGAGGTCCTTAGAAATTTCTCTTTTTTCTTACAACTGTTATGTAAGGAAAATGAGTTAATCAGGCTATTTTTCGCTTTCCTACTCCCCTCCTCCCCAAAAGCAAGACATCCCATAACCTTGAAATGTTGTTTTCCACCACCCCACCCCCAGCAAGGGGGCAGGTGGGCCTTGCATGTGCGACAGTGTATCTGGTGTGGGAAGATGTCCTGCCTGCCGCCTGTCAGTCTGCTGGCCTTTGCTGAGCATAAAGGCCTGCAAAATCTACCAAAGCCTCTAAAATTCTCTTTTCGTCTGGGAGAACTGACAATGAACCTACCCAGCCTGCGATGGTTACACAACACCATGTATTTACCTTTAAAGTGTTCTGGCCCTATTTAGTTTCCCTTTCCTGTAGTAAGAAGTTCTCTGCTTGCTCCTCAAGGAGACTGGTCCTGGGATAGCACCAGGAGTTTGAGCCTGGATATAAGATACAATAAAGAGAAAACTCAAGACTCCTGAAGTCTTGCTTGGAATGCTTAGAACGTGGGGAGGGAAATTCGCCCTTACCAGAAATCCCAGAAGTGCAATTTCAGACAAAAGTGAGTTGATGCTGCTTGTCAGACTAAGAGGTGAGCATTGGCTCACTGCTGGCTGAGTGTGGAAAAGCAGTTTTTTGGTTTTTTTTTTATATATAGATTTTTTAACAATATAAGAGTTTATTTTTACATCATTTTGTGCCTTTTTCCATTAGTTGTAATCCCCATGGGCGTCCCATCACCAAATCTGTGTGCTATCACCATAGTCCAGTGTACTTCCCGCTAAGCCCCCATTTTTGATGGAGAGGCAGTTTTGTTTTTTTTTAAAGATTTACCCATTTATTCATACAGAACTGGGGTACTGGCCAGCGGTGCAGGCGCAGCAAGAGGATTCACCAGAGAGAGACAGGGGAGCAGAACAGGCAGATCAATAAAGTACACTGCTGAGGGGAGCAGTGGGGCGGGCCCGGAGAGGTCTGCTGTGCCGTGTAGATCACCTCTAGGGAAGGGATGGAACTCATGCTAAAGTGGCGTTAGCTCCTTAGTACTGTGCTTTAACCCACTGCACCACCAAGGAGGGCCCGAGGCAGTTTTTTTAAGTTACAAGGTTATCAACTTCATGCTAGGTGTCCAAGTCAACGATGCCAATTTTGAGAAGCTTCCTTTGAAAATAATTCTGCATGCAGAAAATGTGTATAACTGTTGACCAAGAAGCAAGCAGACTGCTGTAGCATCAAAAGGCATTTATTCAACAGTAGGAATCATTATTCAGGTTCAGGACTAAGGCAATTTCAAGGTGTCAGCAGGGTCAGGACTTAATTGAAGGAGTTTTGAAAGAGGCAGGGAACAGGCTTGAGGTTAGGACATTTGTGGTGAAGTGTTGGGTTTGGTTTTTAAGTCCCTTTCTCTCTAGGGGCTGAGAATCTCCAGACAGGAAGCTTAAGTGTGGAGGTCTACCGTCAGGATCTGCAAATGGGCTCTTACATAGGCATGGAATGGCTGAGGCAGGGTGCTTACTTTTTATCTACAAGTTTTGTAGCAGGTGGTCATCAGGGAAAGGGGCGTTTCCAGGTTCCTACCCCACTCGAGGAAGGGGAGAGCTGAGAGGGACGAGACTGGAGAAGAAAGGAAGAGGGGTGGGGAGCCAGGAGACCTGGAGGAGGAACATGGAGCAGAGAGGCGTAGGAAGAAGCTGCTGCGCTTGTTTCTTGACCTTGGACTGTTCCAGGGACATGAAAATACGCTTGAAAGAGATGTGGTTAAGAGACCTAGTTGACAATGGCAGCCTTGATTGTGATTTTGTTCTTTTCCTTCCAGAGTTGCCTACCCCCTTCTTTCCCTCCTATGGGCCCCCACCAGAAGGAGCCTTAGACCTGTGACAGGCTTTCAGGCCTCAATAGTCTGGCTTTGGGCCAACCCTGTTTGAGCAGTTACCCATGAGAGGATGAGTAACTTTGTGTGCTCGATTTAAAAACTATTCTCTACTTTTTCCCCTTCTCTTCATTGCACACTTATTGCATTAAAGTTCCTTTCCATTGAAGAGCATACACACTGGAGTTTGTTTTGATGCAGTGGATGGCAGAACCTATTTAGAGCAGGCAGTTTTGGGGGGTCCTGGGCCCCCCCTCACTCTGCCTGGTAACACTAGGGTGTCCCTCTCCCTGCCCAGTAACATTTCGCATGGCAATTTCGAGACAAGAGGGAGTCTGTTAAAGCAGATTCCACATTGCACACTAGTGTTTACAATCATACTGTTCTTAACTGTAGAACACCACGAGACTAAATAGCTGTCAAAAGGAATGGGTGAGTAATCCTGCATACCTCAACCTGATGAAACATGTTCGTTTTAAATATTTGTGAAAGTTTTGAAGATAGTAACTGAGAACCATACTTTTGTTGGGCAGCTTCAATTTTGAGCCAATAGAAAAGAAATCTGGCTAATAACCTCCCAAAATTCCCTGCCCCTAGGGAAAGTTTCCTGGTAATTCCCCGAATAAAAGGAGGTACTGTACGGCTCAGGTGCCCAAAAAGCAATGGCCTGTGGTTTTAGACCTCTGCGCCTTGACCATCGTTCCATCAGCAATCCACCATGCCCTCACGCCATCGAGTTGCATCCAGGCTCGGGGTGATGGAGGCAGGCTCCATAGACCTTCACAGTGAGAGCCACTGCAGGGGTGAGAGTAGCCTGGGAGGGCATGATCTCTGCTCGCTGGAGCTTTTAGTCTCAGGTGAAGGGGAATTCATCAGTGGGACACCAAGATGACTAAAGGGTAATAGGATACACGGTGCTAGGGCCAGGGGTTGCGGGTAGACAGGAGCCGACTAGCTAGGGTGGTCATAACAGGTCCCTGAAAGAGGAGCTGAGTGCTGGAAAGGAGCCCACAGGACCTCTGGGGCAAGAATGGTTTGTGACCATCTGCAAAGGCAAAGAGGAAGTCCCTTAAGGAAGAGGGGTGCAGAGAAACACAATTCCCAGATACTGACCCATGTGCAATAAGCAAAGCATAGCTCACACCACTGCACAGAATATGAGACAGCAGCGGCCAGTGTTAGTGCCATCCAGGGCCAGCAACAAGCTCAGGTTGGTTCTACACTTTAATGAATGTCCATGTGTTACAGGGAAGCCCACAGTGGACTGGGCCGCCTGTCTGTGGGGCCTCACCCGCGAGCTCACAATCAGTTACTGCAGGGACACACAAAAGGGTCAATAACGAGTTTATTTACAAAAGGGGAAAGGAATAGGAAACAACACAGGGAAAGAGAACAGGATACAAAGTAAGTGCAATACCTTACAGCTAGGCTGACTGAACACACCAAGTTACACGCTCTGGAGAGCTGCTTCCCAAGCGAGCCAGCAAGAGACAGAGTGTGAGCGCCAGAGCCAGCTCGAGCACCCTATTTATCCTCCCAAAATGTCCCAGAATCCATTTCTGCTAGCTCCGCCCTGGGGTCCTGCAGTTCTCTCCCTGGTACTGCTGGGAGTTGTAGTTTCCAATCACTGGAGTAGTGTGTGGGGTGCAGAAAGCTAGAGTAGGGGGTGGAGTCCATAAGACTCTGCAGAGTTCCTTTAGGACATCCTTCCCCTTAACAATTCCCCCCTTTTGATTCATACCACCATATCTATGGTGGCCCAGATCACAGGGTGTAGTCTTCATAGACAGTCTCCATAACACTCCCAGTCTCTGTAAGGTTTCCAGCATATGCAAAAGAAGTAGCAGTCACCAGCAGTGTTCATGAATGCCAAGGATGATGGTCATTACTGTAAAATAGTCCATCATTATAGGTGAAGAGAAAAAATGTTGCAATATATGTATATCAGAATAACAGGAACAGGGCCCTCACTGGTGACGCAGCGGGTTAAAGCACAGCACAAAGAAGCTTAAGCCACTTCAGCATGAGTTCTATCCCCGCCTGCCCTGGAGGAGATCCACATGGCGAGGCAGACCTCTGCTGACCCTCCCGCTGCTCCCCTCAGCAGTGTACTTCGTCAATCTGCCTGTTCTGCTCCCCACTCTGTCTCTGGTGAAGCCTCTCACCCTCCGCATCTCTGGCCTGTACCCCAGTTCTGTACGAATAAATAAATCAATCTTTAAAAAAATAATAACAGGAGGAACAAACAAAAATCTTTAAAAATTGTTTTAACTTCTGTAAAAACAAGTTCTCTCAACCTTGATTCCAAATTAATGTAATAATGTATAACATATTTACAAATTCAAGCTAACATCTAACCATATTTCTATTTTTGCATAAAATCAGAGTAGACTAACCAAAGAACAATTTTTAGATGGTCTTGTTGGAACAGTCCATAGTATCAGAGCGAACAGTCGATGTCCAGTTGATGTAGGCTTTAGGAACAACATCAGTTCCAGCAGATTCCACCTGGGGTCACTACTTCTCGAGGTTACGAGGGCTCAATATTGTCCAGTCCGGGTTGTCCAGGCTTTCCAATGGAGGCAATCTTCCTCACCTTCTTTGGAGGTCCCTGGAACCCTACAAACAAAGCAACAGATGCTGATCTTCGTTCAGCTCTGTCTGAAGTTCCTGGAGAATGCCAAGCAAAGCCACTGAAGCACACCGCCAATTTCTTTAGTTCATACAAAATACCCTGTTGAAGTTACGCAAAAACAGACTCGTGAGTAGTAAAAATTACTATTACAGTGTTAA